AGCAGGAGAAAGGTGGGGTGCAGAACTCAAATTCTAGTAAGAAGACCAGACTTAATGGTCTGACTGAGACTGGAGGAACCCCAGAAAGCATGGCCCCTGGATTCTGTATCAGCCTATAAATAAAACAACTTCCAAGACCAACTCTTCTGACAGGGATTGGACTGGACTGTGGGACATAAAGTGATACTCGTGAGGAGTCTCTTAGCTCAAGGAGATACAAGGGATTAAATGGGCAGCTTCTGTTCAGAGGTGAGATGGGAAGGCAGAGAGGGTTAGGAAGTGGTTGAATGGACATGGGGAATCAGGGGTGGAAAGGAGGGGTGTGTTGGCACAGTATGGGGAGAGCAATTAGGGTCACATAACAATGTATATATAAATTTTTGTATGGGAGACTAACTTGAAAGTAAACTTCATTTAAACTACAACAATAAAAAAATTAAAAAAGTGAAAAAAAAAGAGACTAGCCAAAATGTTAATGCACCTTCAACTGCATAAACAAATACGATGTACCCGTTACTGCAGAATTGATTTTGACATACAGTAGCCCTATAGGACACAGTAGAACTGTCTCAGAGTGTTTCTTTAAATCTGAAGAGGTGTGTGTCAGGGTTGAATTCTTTCACCATCCTTATTCAATATGTATGCTGAGCAAATAGTCCGAGGAGCTGGACAACATGAAGAAGAATGCGGCATCAGGATTGGAGGAAGACTCACAGCAACCTGTGATATATAGATGACACAACCTTGCTTGCTGAAAGTGAAGAGGACTGGAAGCAATTACTGATGAAGACCAAAGGCTACCGCCTTCATTGTGGATTATACCTCAACATAAAGAAAACAAAAATCCTCACAACTGGACCAATAAGCAACATTATGATACATGGAGAAAATACTGAAGTTGTCAAGGATTTCCTTTTACTTGGATTCACAATCAACATCCATGGAAGCAGCAGTCAAGAAATCAAATGACATATTGCACTAGGCAAATCTGCTGCAAAAGACCTCTTTAAAGTGTTAAAAAGCAAGGATGTCACCTTGAGGACTAAGGTATGCCTGACTTAAGCCATGGTATTTTCAATTGCCTATATACATGCAAAAGCTGGACAACGAATAAGGAAGATGGAAGAAGAATTGATGCCTTTGAATTATGGTGTTGGTGAAGAATATTGAATATACCATGGACTGCCAGAAGAATGAACAAATTGTCTTGGAGTAAGTACAG